TTTGAAACATGGGGGCAGTTATAAAAGACATGGTCAAAAGTATAATATATTACACACTGTTTATCTCTACTCTTTTCCCATTGATCTTTATAACTGTAAGATATTTTAAGGATATTCTCACAGAAGACTCTCTCCAAACTGGGGCTAAGAGCATAAAAATGTCAAGCTGCAATTTCACTGGAAACAAATGCAATGTGGGCTGCTTCATAAATACATTGATGGAATCTGAGCTGGCAGGAGCTATATAGGAATCTTAGATCAGTGGAAGCGAGATCATTGAAAATATGAACTCAATGTACAGCTGTTCTGAAAAAGATGATAAGCTGGGAGATTGATATACATCTATGTTGTAATTGCGACCTGACCACAACAATCAGTTTTGGTCACTGCTATGTTGAAAATAATATTGTAGAATAGATGAAAATGGGCGGGGGGGGGGAAGAGAGAGATGAACCAAATATTGATGCTGGAAGTAATTCTCTTATGAGGCAAAGTTGCAATGCTGAGAGCAGGGATACAGAACAGGGATGTACAACATTTTGCAGCAGATGGGAGGTGTAGGAGGAAGGACTGCCTGACCCATAGCATTAGATTCTTCTGAAACACTAAATAATAAGGGATAAATGAAAGGAAGTGTTTTTCCAAAGGGCTTACACAGATTCATTGGCAAATTGATCACCACATTTAGCAACACCTTGTTAGCCCCTTCATAGCTGTGAAGCTATGAAGGAGTTGGACTTGGTTGTATACCTTCTTGAAAATTGTGGGCTAAATGGAAAACTGAAAAAGTGAAAAGTGAACAAGCTGGAACAAGGAATTCAGTAATAACACTGTTAATTTCATTGTCTCCTGCAAAATGTCTGCTTAGAAAATGGCATGCCGATTAGAGGAATTATTATTGCAACATCAACTTTTGTGGCTAATTTAGTCTATGGAAAAGCTTCTGCTGAGCAAATTACAGAATAATTTGAGGTGGTGAGTGAATGCCTGCATGGATGCTATTTGTGACTGTCTTCTCACAGCAATTGAACCCGAGCAACTGAGTCTATCAAAAGATGGAACTATTACCAAATAAGTATTCCAATTCTAAATTTAATGTTGACTGTTTTTAAGCCACTGTTTTTTAAGCTTGACAATGTTAAGCTGTGTAGGCTTCAACTATACAACCTCACTGCAAGCAGATAAAAGAAAGCGTGCTATACCCCAATTTACAAATGGATCAATGTAGGATGTTTGCTATCGGGTGATGCAATGTCAGGCAGTCCCCAAGTGACATCCATTACATGTATTGTCTGATACAATGAATGACTACTATAAATTACCAATTTATGATGTGGGAAAAGAAGGTGCCCTTTAACTACTGTTGATCTGCCTCATATGTGTGTCCAGATCAATAGGACATTTCCCCCCCTAATTATTAACATAAGAGGTCTTTTATGACAGGGCAAGTTCTGATGCTGCTTTGTTTTCCATTTAACTTCTCTTTCTAAACCATTCATTCAATAATGCTTTAGGTGTGCAGTGTGTTGGTTGTCTAAAATATTATGCAACTTTGTATTTCTTAATCATACAACAAAACCACCCTCATCTTAAGAATTCTTCCTCATTTATTAGCAGTTTGCATCCAATTCATTAGCATGCGGGATGCATCAGTTACCACATTTGATCATCCAATAATACCCACCATTTTGACATTATTGATGGCCTCTGTGGACATCTCTGCTTGGGAAGCCCACCCAATTAACCATGGTTCCTGCTCCAAAGGAAATCCTGGAAGCTAAGTGGTTTCTTGTTGAGGAAAATCCCACCTCATTTCTGATTCTCTCTTCTCTCTTTTAGCTTAGGCACAATGCCCATTGGTCAGACATTCCCTGCCCCCCCCCCCCACGCTATGAAAACAAGTATTAGGAGAGAACAAGGTTGGGTCATTAGATGATTATAATTTTTTTCATCCTCCCATTGACAAAATCCTTGACCAAGAGTGAAGATACCTTTATTGTTCTGGGTCTGTAAATAAAATGAAATGAAACAAGCACATTTGCAGATCAATGTAAAAACCACAGGGGAGAGGAATGCCTCTGAAACGGTGGGCATGGCAAAGAAGAGTAAAGCAGTATTTGCTGGCGGTCTTGAGTAATTTCCCTCATTGAGAAGAAGTCTAACACCTAATGAATCAGCAGATGTAGACTGCCTGCCTCCACAAAAGAGAGTATCTTCCTCTTCTTTACATTAAAGACCCCCACCCCCCAAAAACAAACCAATGTATCATGCATGAAATCCTCTTATCTTTGCTACCGGGAGTGCACACTTGCATGCTTGCTTTGCTCGAGTGTGGCGTTTCTGTGCATCCACAGAGCATCGGTGAAGATGTCTGGGTGGGTGGGTGGAGCCTCCTGCTGCCACTACAGGTTTGCCTGAATTGGGTCGAACTGGCAGAATACCACCTCTGCAATGTATACATGTGAGTATAAAGTCTCGTTTCATTGAGAGAAGAGAGTACTTGCTGGCATTCTTCTGTTGTAACTTTAATCTTCGTTCTGTTACTTATCAGATCTCTGAGAAATGTGTTCTTATTAACAGTGGATTAATTGTTTCCAGTCCAGATTTCTAGAAGAAAAATCTAAAAGTAGCTGACAATTGACACAATTTTTTTCAGCGGTAGGCTCTGAGGAACACTCTGATTGTGTTCTGCTTGCACATCACTACTAGGTTTTGGAAGTTAGACACAATGGACTGTTAAGAAAGTTCAGAAAGTTTATAGCTTTTGTCCGGAGAAAATAGCAACATTTCAGAGAAAATAGTTTAGAACTCTCTGAGCAGTAGGTTAAACTGGGAAGTAAAAAAAAGGGGGGAGAAATAGCAAGCAGTCATTAAGAGTTAGGTTTGAACTCAAGATATTTCACTTTTTTCCCCTCTACAAATAGAATTGTACAGAGTTGTTGCTAGCACATGCAAACCGGTAATAAAACTGTTGACCGGATCCATAGGTCTGGAGGTTGCCACCATAAAAAGATTAGATCAGCAGTGTCAAACTCAAGTCCTGTGGCCTGGATCCTCTGGCAGCCAAAGCAGGGCACATGGGGGATGCACACGGCTCCCAAATCCCATTTTCAGCCTGGACAACCTCCGGCAACACTCTTCCAACCAAAATGGGGCGCGGCAGGACCTTGTGTGCACCCTGCACCCCATTTTGGCCAGCAGAGTGCTGCAGAAGGCCATACAGGCCAAAAATGAGGTGTGGGGAGCCTCATGCGGAGAACTACAATGCTGATCCCGCTCTCAAAGAAATCCAGTTTGATACCCCTGGATTAGGTAATTAAGCAACCTGATTAACAGGTGGGGCTTTTTTGGTAACATGAGACAGGTATTCCTTGATTTACGACCACAATTTAGCCCAAAATTCCCATTGCTAAGTAAGACAGTTGTTAAGTGAGTTTTGCCCCATTTTATGACCTTTCTTGCCACAGTTAGGTGAATCACTGCAATTGTTGTTAGTCACATGATTGTCAAGTGAACCTGGCTTCCCCGTTAACTTTGCTTGTCAGAAGGTCACAAAAGGTGATCACATGATCCTGGGACACTCCCACCATCATAAATCTTGCCTAGCATCTGAATTTTGATCATGTGACTATGGGGATGTTTCAATAGTCATAAGTGTGGCAAACGGCCATAAGTCACTTTTTTCAGACCTGTTCTAACTTCGAATAATCACTAAATGAATGCTTGTAATACGAGAATTATCTGTAGATGATGTTCTCAGTTCCTACTTTGGTTGAAAGCTTTAGGGAATAAAGGATTTGCCTTCCATGTTTAGATGGAACTCTTTGAGAATATCTATGGAGATTCTCACTCATCCAGATCATGGTTGTCCTAAAGGTACTTTTTCAAAAGGCAACTGGACTTTTTCTTTGAAGATGTTTCACTTCTCATCCAAGAAGCTTCTTCAGCTCTGACTGGATGGTGGGAAATGGAAAAAATTATACTCTCTTACAAGTAAAAAACACTGTTAGTGTCCCTTCTCTATTTTGTTTGTTTCTCTAGTATTTGAAGGACTGCCACAAAGAGGAGGGGGTCAAATTATTTTCCAAAGCGGCATAGGGTAGGACAAGACACAATGGATGGAAACTAATCAAGGAGAGAAGCAACCTGGAATTAAATTAAACTTCCTAACAATGAGAACAATTACCAAGTAGAACACCTTGCCTTCAGAAGTTGTGGGTGTTTCATCACTGGAGATCTTTAAGAAGAGACTGGACTGTCACTTACTCACAGTCACAGTCTCCTGCTTGAGCAGTGGGTTGGACTAGAAGACCTCTAAAATCCCTTCCAGGTCTCTTCTGTACTATTTTTTTAGAATCTACACAGTTTCTAGTTCTTTTGCCATGCAAGAGTTGAAAAGCAAAATAATTTAAAGCACCTTTTTTTTAAAAGACATAAAAGAGAGAAGACAGAGTACGGTACAAAGGAGGATTAAATTAAGTTACTAGCCAGTTTCCAGCTCCTGTGCTTTTCCTCCGGGTTACAGAAAGAAGCGTAGCGCTTAAACAGCAGCTTTGATATTGCCTTGAAAGGGGCTGGCAGCCATACAGCCAGTTTGATAAAAGGGGTGGGGGAAACCAAGAGTCTTGAGCTGGGCTGCAGCTCTTAACAGCTGCCTTCTCTTGCACGCTGAAATGTTGCCGCCTGGAACTTGGAAGCATCTGGGGGGGGGGGGGTGGGGGAACCTTTAAGTCTTCCAACTCGTGCCGCCAGTTGCAGCCCAAAAAAGGAACCTTCAGTTGTATGGCTGTCAGCCAAGGCCATTCAGTCTAGCTTCTTGTGATTTTTATGGATTTCCTGGGTGACAGAAACAAAAGGCTCCATCTGAAAGATGAACGTACCACCCATGTGGGAGGATGACTGCACTCTTCCAGCGTGGCCCGAGTTGGATCACAGCACGCTGTGAAGGATCTCCTTCCCTTTGCGATGCCAGCAAGAGGACCCATGGGTGGCTTGGTTCCTGCTGCTCCTTCTCCAACCGGCTCCTCCTTTTTTAATGCCTCCGCGTAGAACTTTTCCCTTGGCTCTCTCCCTCATGGAAACCACTTTAACGGACCCTGTGATGCTTTCCCTTGACGAGCGTTGGGAGAGACTTTCACACCTTACCCGGGTTCCGAATTCCTTTTGACGTTGAATCTTCTGAGTGGTCGGAGCCTGATGTTGAGGTGGTGGTTGCTTTTCAGTGGGGGTGTTGTGTTTGCTGGGTGTCAAAGCAGTGGAGGACTTTGTTTTCTTTAAGTGGAGGAGTGTATCTTTTGTGCTGTGTAGCCTTGTTTCCTTGTGAGCGAGAGAGACGGCCTGGGAGTAAGACTGCTGTAACGTGATTCCCGTGCCAGCCAAGGAAGAGAAGAGCGCCTTTCGCCTTTCGCTGTTTAGCTGAATGCTTTGATAGATAATAGCAGACATGCTTTGTGGACTAAAAAAGGATTTGCAGTCTGGTTTTGGTGAGTAAGACTGACTGTATTCCTTGACCTCCTGTTCCTTTTCAATTTTATTTTAAGGAAACTTGATCCTTTCAACTTACCCGATTTACACAGGGATCACACACAAAGAAAGGTGTGGATATCAATTTGGACAGAAATCTTTGAACATTTTTTTCCTTGAATTTTATGTTGTGGCTTTCATGTTTGGTTTGTGTGTGTGTGTGTGTGTGTGTGTGTATGTGTTGCATGTAATTAATTTGACTTTGTAACCTTGGAAACTATGGGCTTTTGCACTGAGTGTTTCTTTAAAAGTCTCTTCTGCATCTTTCATGAATTACAGAGGTTTTGTTTGCAGCTGTGTACAATTTGTATTTATCTTGTCAACTCTACATGATTTTTCAATGAAAGGAGCGAGGTCTCCTTCTTTCTTAATGCATTTTTACATAGTAAAACAGCATGCTAAATATAGGCGGATCACTAACTCTAGTATGCGCTTGAGGGTGTTGGTGATCTTACAGTCTAATGTAATGAATCATATTAATTATTTTAATGCAATAGAAAACTGTCAGTATCCTAAGGTTATTCACAGATGAAAGGTACCCTAGCAGGAAATCCAGTATGTATATCTAGCTCCCCATTTTAACTTCGCTGCAACCTCTGTTTTGCCATCAGTACACATGGTGCATTTATTCCCACCCTGATTTCTTCTTTTTCTTTTATCCTTAGGGGGAAAAATCACAGATGGCTGAGGAGATTATAACATTATTATTAATAAAGTTATTAAAGTGGGTTGATGACAGTAAACCACAACTTAGCTCACTTTTTGTCTATGGAGAAAAATAATTTTAGCAGCTCCCCCATTTTTCCCCAGTTTTGAGTTTCACATCTGCAGTATGGAAGTTGGACTTCTGGTTTAAGTGATCTTAATCCAAACAGCTCAACAATTTGAAACAGCAGCTTATTTCCAAGAGCTGTCTGTGAGGAGGCTTTTGTGGCAAAATCAGCACATTTTGTGGGTGGAGTCATAAACAGTATGATATAAATGTTTATGGACTAAGACCCCACTTTATAGAATACCTTTGCGGTTCTTTGGATCCTTATAGCATCATCCACCTGATTCTTCCATGTGTGTCCAATACAACTGGACAGCAAATTGCAGCAAATTGCAGCAAACTGAGCTATCTACTCTATTGATTGAGGGATAATGCTTCATACAACCAAGGGACAGCTTAGCTCACAAAATAAACTTCATGTTATAATATAACTATCTCTTAAGATACTACAAGATTGTGTTAAGTTTGGAAATTTAACACCTTCTTAACTTGTTGGTCTAATCTGATTGGGGCAAATGAATAAGTGTTTCCATGTCCACTGTATATTGTTAAAAAAGCACTTTTGATATACATGTCAATTCTATCTGCCTGTTTGTTCCCTAGAGATTACCTGTGAGTTAGGCCAATTACTCAGTTTTATGCAAGAATTTTCATGTCTTGTAAATTTAGTTGATAGAAATTTTTTTGTGAAATTCAGTAAAATGAATTGGCAGGAAATGTTGCTACTGGAACCTTCAATAAGTATTTCTTTATGTATTGGAATATTTCTTTAAAGAATAAAATTGTTCAATGCAAGTGCAGAGAAAGTAACTTATTCTGTGCTTTCCACTTTTTCATCAATGTTATGTTCCCATGAAAATGATTTTCTATCTATCTATCTATCTATCTATCTATCTATCTATCTATCTATCTATCTATCTATCTATCTATCTATCTATCATCTATCTACCATCTATCTATCTATCTATCNATCTATCTATCTATCTATCTATCTATCTATCTATCTATCTATCTATCTATCTATCATCTATCTATAGATGGATAATCTATCTATCATATTTAAGAACATATTGACTATTCCAGATGAATTCTGTGAATATTACAAATAAGGTTGCTTAAACTGAACATATTTTGCACTGAGCTCTAAGGGTTTTTATTTTTGTGAACCAATGTTTGTGTGTTAATCCACAGAGAAAAAACAATCATCACTATTATACAGTTTTTACTACCTTTGAGATAGAATGCTTAGTTCTAATAGTTCCTTATCTCTTATGCACTGCCAACATTTCCAAATGCTACACTCATCTCTTCCTAACTCGTATTTTATCTCTACATTTTGTATTAAAGGGCTAACAATGTCCAGATTTAGGAATTGTGTGGTCTAATATGGGTCTTGAGGCTGTTTGACTGTTTGTAACTTAATTCTTAAATTCCAAACCCCAAATCATTCTAGAAATAAAGAAAGAAATGAAAGTGTGTAAAATTATCCTTTTAATTGGGAAATCTGATATACTGTCTCTCAATTGAGCTACCTTGTGAGTGACAAAAGTTGACAGCAATGTATAGAATCTGGATTGCAAGCCTAGCTATGGGATATGAATAGGAAAGTAGAGTTTAAACTCTTTGTAATCTGCCAATCTGTTCACATTGTTGCTTTAGTTTTATGCCTCTAGTTTCACATCTGTTGAGGGATTTGAGATCCAAAAATTCCAAATCTGGATCTAAATTTGCCGACCTCAGCTGAAAAGCTCAGCTTATTCTAGATACTGTGCTATAAGTAAGTTCTACAATGGAGATATAGAAATATTAAGACTTGCTGTGCTAAACTCAGTTTTTGCAACAGTTGCACCCAACTGATGATTGTACTAGCAAACTATGGTAAAATAGGTGCTTTACCCAATTGCATTATTTTTTCCCCACCAAGGTATTCAAGCCAGCATGACTCTGAGAGGCAGCCCTGGCATATGAAATGATTATGGATGCTGCTAGCTAAAAGGGCAAGAAAGATGTGCTTGAGCTGGTCAGGATGCTCCGGTGTCAGTGTGATCTTTATCTAAGCTCCTGGGGGAAAGAAGTGGAAGAAGGAGAATGCCTACTAAGGTGTGAATAACAAAAATATATGAAGGAAGGAGAGAGAAAAGGGTGGATTGAACATAATGGTGCCAACAAAGAGAGGCAAGAGATTGTTGAATGAAAAAATAATAATAATAATTCCAGAAACTGCAAAAAAACAAAAAATATCCTGGAAAATACAAATAATAATAATAATCCCGGAAATTGCAAAAAAAAAAAGTCCTGGAAAATGCAAATAATAATAATAATAATCCCGGAAATTGCAAAAAAAAAAAGTCCTGGAAAATGCAAATAATAATAATAATAATTCCAGAAAATAAAGAATAGAAGAAATAGATCAAGACCATGTTTTGAAGGAATTGGGTGGTGGTAGCCAGAAGGCCATGTGCCATAACATCCTGGGGAGAATAGATAGGGGAGAAAACTGATTCTTGTTCCAATTGGTTTCCTCTAGAATTATCAGATCCATCGGTCACTTGCCTCCTTCAGAGAAAAGCCTGTTTTGGCCTTTCTAAGTGAGGACTTTCTCAAACTATTTGATTATACCAAAGAACTTCGCAGGATGAAAAGCCGCTATTAAAACATGGATTTAGTTGAACAGAAGAGAATCCTAGGAATAGTAGGCTCTCAAGTGGAATTCATTATGGGGGAATACGCAGTGTTCTAAAAATAATGAATTCAGAGGAAAAGGCTTGAAAAGAATCCCGTGTATGAATATATGTATGCCTTCGATATATAGCCATAGACCAAAAGAATAAAAATCAGTGAAATTATGCAGTAATTAGAGAGCGGTAAAACATAAAAACAGCAGCATGTAATGTGCAGCAAAAGCCAGCACAATGCAGGAATGCTAGACTTCAGCAGAATAAAGAATGTTCAGGAATGATCAAGAAACTTTGTCCATAGTCATTCATGCCCTGGTCACCTCCCAGTTGGAATACTGTAATGCTGTCTACATGGGGCTGCCCTTGAAGAGTATCTGGAAGCTTCCACTAATTCAGAATGCAGCTGTGCAAGCAATTATGTGTGCCCCTAGAATAGCAGATATTACACCTCTGTTCCGTGAGCTGTAGTGGTTGCCAGTCTGCTTTCAGATCCAATTCTAAATGTTGGTTTTGAGTTTTAAAGCCCTTCGTGCCATAGGTCTGGGTCATCTGACATCTGCCTCCAGGGATGGTATTAACTTACCTTCCCTACCAGTTCATAAATGTGAGTGCACGCACACCTTCTGCGCATGCACTTTTCCTTAGAAAAGGGCCTAAATGGGATGCCGTAAAGCCAGGGCAGGTGAATGGGCCCACTTGCGATTTCCGCTACCGGTTCAGGCGAACCGGTCAGAACCTGCAGAATACCACCTCTGGCTGCCTCTTCTTCTATAATGACTTCTTCATTAAGGACTAATGAAATATAACTACTTCTTATACATTGTCCCATAGATCCAGTAGAAGTGGTATGTTGTGGGTCTTGTCTGCTTAAAAACTGTATCTGTTGGGATCCCAAAAATGGACTTTTTCTACTATGGCACTTGCATTAGGAAACATCATCCCTTCCAAGTCAAGCTGGCTCCATCCTTGCTAACATTTCATAAGTTTCTCAAGATTTGGCTCAGGCTTCCAAGGAATTGGACTTGTTGACATGGCTCCACAGTTGGTCATATCTGTTGCTCTCTCCTTGCCTTTTTTAAATTGTAATCTATTCTTAATTGTTGATAGTTTTAAATTTTTTATTGTGTGCTGCCCATATTTTGTGTCACAGGTGGCTAAATAAATATGATGAATGAAAAACTAAACAAATAATTAAATTGTGGAGGATGTCAATGTTTCATACAAAGATTGGTGGAAAAGCTTGGCAAAAAGCAGTCACTAAACATAAAAAATGAATACAACAGAAGAGCAAAAAAAATATCAAAGCTTAGCTGGATAGAGAGCCAACGTGCTCCCCCCCCCCCCATTTCTAATGGCCCAAGCTATTGCTAAGAATTTTACAGCCATCTTAGAAATTTTGATTGTAACAGATAGAAAGAGAAACGATTTACTGAGATTAAGGCATAAGGTATGAAAAAAGGAGGACATTGTAGTAGTACATGTGCTACAGACCAAATCTTGTTGCCTAAGC